TTCCCTCTGTAAGTTGACTCTTCTTTTTAAGTGAAGAAAGGCTTTGGCAATTGTTTATTTCCTATGTCACTATTTTTCCAACTTCCAGCGAGCAGAGTATAGAGGGTTTGGCCTTGGCCTGTTTTCTTGGGCCTTTGTCTGCTCTGTGACAGATACGGTTTGCTGGTTCAATAGTTGGGGCATTTCTGAATATTTTCCTGAAGTGAGTTATACAGTTTGATCACCAATTGTAACACTTTGGGTACAATCACAAAGGATGAATCCCCCATCCCCTCACACAGGGGTTCCCCTGTCCCTGAGGATGGGGGAGCCGCCGAGCGGGGAGGACTTCAGGACACAGAGAATCATCCCCTTCCCTCGCAGCTTGCTGCCGCCGTTTCATTCAAACAAACACCTTGGTCAGATTTAAGCCAGTTTCCAAGTTGGCCCAGGGCTGAACCCTGGCCATGGTGTGAGGTTTAAGTGTTATGCTTAAGTTTACGTGCATGCCTGATACCTAGTGAGGCCCTGCCAGCATGAAGGACCCCAACCACCCCACAGACCTGTGCACTTGTCACCCCACGGCGTTGCAGCAGCACCCCGAAGCCCTGGTGAAGCCCTGCCAGCATGGTGGAGCCCCACCAGCCCGGAGACCTGTGTGCTTGCTGCCTGAAGGTGTAAGGGCCACAGGTGGACAAGATCTCCAGCCAGCTGGGTAATCCACGTCTGCTGCCCCGAAGCGTAATGATTGTCAGTGTTATAATGCAGCATACTGTGAGACCGTTCCCCATGCCAGCGTATGGCACCAGGCAGGCACCCATCCTTTTCCTCGCTATCCTTCTTCCAGTAAGGTGTTTCTCACCAGGATCCCACCAACTACACCAAATGTAATGCACTGGTGCAAGTGTTACGGATCCCAGTAAGAAAGACACTCAGAGCCCATAATGTGTTAATTAAAATGCCATTTATTGGACATAACACAAGAAAGGGCATAGCATTAGATAATCCTACAAGTGCCGCAAACACCAAGTTGTACAGCATCGGACAGATATCTAACCAGGCCATGGCATGCTGCACAGATCCCATCCATGTTGAGGTTCACCAGCATTGGCGGTCTTCAGGTCTTTACAGGATTTTCTTAGGAGTAAACAACTTTATTCATCAATTTGCTGCCAAGCAAAAGGTTGTTCACATAAAAATATCCTGCTTCTAAGATAAAGACAAAGACACGGTGGTGGCATCATCACCAGGTGCCCAGTGGGAGCCACCTATGGCCTCCTCAGTCAGGATTAGCCAGCTAAGTTTATCCTGCAGCCAAGTGATATGCGCAGCACAGCACAGACCTGCCTCCACCTACTCAGATCAACTGTTAGGTGAATAATGTTTCTGTGCGGACCTCCTAATTCAAAATTGCTCCTACTTTTTCGCTCCTATCATCTCAGAATAAAGGCGGCAGTTACAGATCAGCAGATTAAGCAATAGGGGCCTGGATTCTCCCCTTCCCTTCCCCCCGTTGCTCGCCCTTCTCTCCCGGTT